CCTTTAGCTCTAAGAGGTCTGAGGTTAAATTTATGTATTCTAACTACTATACATCTAGCCATCTCTAGGCAAAGCCATGTTGCTGTAGGACTTAGGGATGGGCATGCATCCTATACTGGTAGGGAATCACTCTCAGCCTTTGAGTGGAAGTGGAAATGTTTCTTTAGGGAAGTGGAGCATGAAATAAAATAAAGAACAACCAAATTTGAATGTGATGACATATGTAATGCATGTAATGGCTGTGAGGTGTGCACTCATAAAATAAAGCCTCCCCTTTTGCTTAAACCCACCCTTCCATCACCAGGAAGCCTGCTGCTGCTCCAGGAATTTACAGCTACAAGCAACCATAAACATTGTGCTAATGGAAACACAGGCTGAGAATGGTCACTGGAGAGTCAGTGAGTGCAGTTTGAGGCCAGAGACAATATTTTCTACTTTCTGCACAACACAGGGTTACATTATCATCTGATATAGGGGAAAGGCACTTGAATAATAATTATTATTAAAAGCAAACAATCAACTCCACAGATCAATGGCTCTTTTCCAATGTGTTTTCTAATCTCTGTTTCCTCTCAGATGCATGGTTATTGTCCACCTGGAAAAGTCCCAATGTGATAGCCAGAAATCTGCCACCACCACCCCTTCTGCTGTTCCTGCCATCATATTTAATTGTGTTTGCTCAACTTGAAGCCAAACTCATATGCAGTATATTTAGATGGTTAAAATAGCATAGCATTACACTGTATTCACAGATTATTTTCAATACCACAATTCTTGGGAATTAATCTGGAATAAATAAAGAAAAAAAGAAGCACCATAAATTTGTTTCAGTGACAAGGAAAACAATATCAAAATGGCAATCTGGAGATCCGCCATGAATGAAGGAATAGAATGTTTCTTTGGTTCCTCTCCTGAAAATGCAATCACCATCTCATTTGCTAGCCTCGATTTATTTTGAAGTGAGTGAGAATGAAGGCTAGGAATGAACAACCAGAAACTATGAAAAGTACTTTTATTACTCCAAAAGATCAATGTACAATCTCTGTATTTATTCTTATAGAGCATTAAAGGTAAAACTGTAGAGCTGATATATATGTTGATTTTCTGAACCTCTAAGGAGTTTTTATTTTCTACAATGGCAAACATTCTAAATTGAAACACATATATCATTAATATGTATTCAGAGTCTCTTACTAAAGTCTTGGCCACTATATGTGTCTTCTAATGGCTCAAAATCAAGTGGGATGTCAGCAGCTCATGACTGTGATCCTAACTACTCAGTAGGCTGAGATCTGAGGATTACTGTTTGAAGCCATACCAGGCAGGAAAGTCTGTAAGACTTTTTTCTCCAATCAACCACCAAGCAGCCAGAAGTAGAGCTGCGGTTCAAGTGGTAGAGTGCCAAACTTGAGCAATAAAGCTCAGAGACAGTGTCCAGGCCGTGAGTTCAATCCCCAGGAACAGGACAAAAAAAAAAATCACTTAATTAATTTACATAGGCTAGGTTGGATACTTTTTTCTTTGATAAAATTTGAGTTTGAACTGGAGGTTTTATGCTTATTAAGCACTGTAGTCCTTAAGCCATACCCCTGAGTTAACTGCAGTATTACAGATATCTATGTAGCAACCTCATATAATCTATGAGTTCTTGAGCTTAAGAACTGAGTTTCTTAACTCAGTAGAGCTCAAAGTAGAGTATAAAATAGAGTGACTAGGAGAATCATTTTAGATAAGAAGAAAATACCACTTTTTTTTAGCCCCTGATGTAGATGGTGAAGATGATGTGAATTGCTAAGTAAACGACAAGTTCTAAGACCATAAAAATGGGAAAGAATTAAAGAACCCAAAGAACATGGAGAAGGGCAACCTACTTAGAGCATCATGAATTGAAGGAAAATATTTTATAGAAGAGGCCACACAATGAATAAAGGACATATTTCTGCCAAGACTCAGGCAGCTACATAAAGGTTTGTTCTGCTTTTGGAATCAGCACAGGACCAGCCTGGGAAACAAAGGTCAGCATTGTCTCAGATAGAAATATTGCTGGTCTCCCCATATTTACTGTTTCATGGATTGAACTATTCACTTCTTTTGCCTTTATCTTCGGATGGACTCTTTTTTAGCTCGTTTTCTCACTTGGCTTTCCAGACCTATGGGCCCACTTCCTGGTCTGGCCTGGCCTGATTCTTGTTCTAACCCTCATTATTAATTTAGACCTTGAATTTCCATAAGCTTTGTGGTCTGAGGGCTTGATTTCACAACAAATCCTTAATGAGCTTTACTATTTCCTTACTTGACCAGAACAAACACTGATGTTACTATTTTTAAAAAATGTTTTATGCTTTCAACTTTTCAAAATACTCCTTTAAGCTTTAACACTCTTGGTTGTCTCAATGACTGACCTGACATAGCTATAAAGTTATTCTTATTTTTTTAAGGAAATCTATAGTCAAATATAAGTTCCTGAAAACCCACGGAACCTTTCCCATCTCCATTTTGTGTGTGTGTGTTGAAGGAGGCCTGGTTTACTCCTAGTATCTCAAAATAGTTAAATTCACAGTGGTCTGCTTATTATATATAGGCACATGGAATATAAAAGGCAAATCCAATGGGCTTACTTTTCTCAAACTTATTCATTGTTATGTATTTGAGTACATTTCTCTTTGCAACATTATGATCTGAGACAAAACTCACAAGTTCATTCATATACATAGCCATAATGTGGAGATAGATTAATACATGTATACTAGTAAGGAAGAGGGTAAAAAAGAAGATGTTGCTGTTTTTTAGTGAAATGAAGAGAAAGAAGTAAGGACATTTATTTAGCTGAGCTGCTCTAGACTTCTCCTGTAGCTTGGCTTAACACCAAAGATCATGGTTGAATGCTACATCTACTTAGATGCTGAATGGCATATTTAACTCTCATTGTAAAAGTTCAGTGTTCTTGTGGTCTGATTTTCAGATTACTATATTGGCCCAAAATTTAAAGATCCATTTAAAAAATATTTTCAGGAAATTCCAAAAAAGGAAAAGAGAATGAGAATAGAATTTCCTTACTGGTTCAATAGCAATCCAAACTCATGAGTAAGATTCTGGAAAAAAAATGGGCAAGTGAGAGAAGAGATTAAATCCTCTCAGGTGTCTTCCTTCTTTCTAAAGGAGATCAATTAGGTTCATTGTGGCTTGTGGTAAGTGGTAGTTTGTGGCAGAAGACTTTTCATACCATTCTTGAAAAATCTAAGGCACTTATTAACATGAGATTCTAGCTGTTTTTATTAAAAATTCATGACCTTTTTCCAAGAGAACCATTTTGACCTGATACTGCTGGCTACCGTCATGGGAGGTCTTTCACTCACTCCTATATATCTTTCAGGGATAGAGACTTTAATGATTACTATCTAATTAAAATATATCTATTATTAATTTAAATGAAAATAACAATATACAATTCTGGTTAAAACACAAATTTCCTTAGAAGTGGATTCTTACATAATTGCAAATGCTTTAAGTTTTGAAGGATGTCTTGCCTTTAGACTATCATTTACTGTATTAGAAGCAATAATTCACAGCTGAAGAAAAAAATAGTAGACTATAATACAGTTCTAAATGAACTTCAAACATTTCAAATAGCAGGGGAAAAAACATATCATCTACTCTTTATTTCCAGACAGGCCTATAATGTTTTGTATATATCATGAAACTAGAGTTTCAGCAGAGTTCTCTCCTTCATCAACTCCAAGTCTTACTTCTCCAAACAACTCTGAGGCACAGCCTGAGCACCAATGAAGTGCATGGTACATGGATTTGGTGCTCTCTAGAGCACTGCCAGGTAAAAGTCTATAGTTGGGGCATCTCTGCCTTTCGTGTGGAAGTTCTGCATTGTTCAAGTTGGCCCATAGTGGGTGGATGATGTTAATTCTGATTAAGAAAACCATTATGACCACATATCTAAGCCACAATTTTCATTGGCAAGCTAACAGTTATTTTGTAAATACTCCATTTGTAAAGTATTTCTATTGCTCCTCTTTTAAGATGTTTTCTTACATGTACACAGGTTTTGCCAGGATGATTTGATAATTTTACTATGTCATTGTCATTATTTTCTCTTTCAGGAAAAATGGTAGTCACCATTTTTGCAAAAAGATATGGAAATACATTACAAAGACTGAACAGAAAATAATTTTCAGCTACAAGTAAAGAGATGATGTGTGAAAATAAAACCAGCTTTATACAAATGTGTGTGTGTGTGTGTGTGTGATTTGAAAATGTAATGATTGAAAATGTAAAATTCAGTTTTGAAAGTTTATGTCTTAGAGTTTTCACTAAAAACTTTTAAGGTATTTTAAACAATTGATGCAAAATATAAAGAAGTTTATATATATTATAAGTATAAGATCTAGATCTATATTCATATTACTAGTTTATGAAATGACACTAGTTAGGTTTGTATGTGTATAAAATAATATGCAACTGAAGCTATAGCAAAATGCTAAAATAACTGACTAAAAGGTAAAAAAATCATTCATGGCAGTTTTCCTTATATGTTTCCCTGATGAGGTGAGTTGATTTTGTCTGGCATCTTGTGAGTACTCATTAAGTTGTTAGAGGCAAAGACAAAGTATGATAAAGATGTGCAAATCAATAACTTTTAATGTTAATAATAGTGAACTATTAAATTCACAAAATCAAAGCTGCTTCAAATTAATACTGAACTTAACTTCATTCTGGAACCAAAATTTGCACATGCTCGTTATGTATAACAGAATTTAGAAGTTATACTTATATGCTTTTTGTCATACTTTCTTTTAAAGGTGAGAGACTAAAGAGGAAGAAAACAAAAGAGATTCCCTTACTTATAAAATGTTTCACTTTCCAAAAAATATGACATACACTCAAATACACACACACACACACACACACACACACACACACACACATACACACAAACATACATATATCCACACCACACATTACCACCACTATATCAACAATCTTATTACCTGTTTTTGAGCAGTACACTGAAGGTCATCTTATCCAGTCCCAGATAATTTGGCAGTAAGTTTGACCAATTCCAGCTCCATTTTGTGATGGCTGACTGTTGATAAATGAGAAGACACTATTGTTAGTTATTAATCAGAGTTAATATGATCAGTAAATTAAAGCTCCAGCTGTGATAGACTAACTAAGAAGGAGGGGGGTCTAGAACAAGGACTTAGACAGATAACATCAATCATGTCTATAGAAAAAGGTTTTTATTCCAATAAGACAGCAATTAATTTATAAATCCATTTGGGATGTAGTCATTATTTATAAAAATATAAATCAGTTTCTTGAGTCATTATTCTTCTGAGTGTTAATGGCATTTACTCAACAAGTTTCTTTGGGAGAGTGGTTTTTTGAGAAACAAAGAAAAATAATTGGCAAGTTTTTCATGTATCATATCACTTTGTAGATTCTTTGTTAACACCTAAATTTTCTATTTAAAAAGCTAAGAAGTGCTAAGATTGAAAATACAAGAAACAGCCTAGTGAGAGTGCAATATCAATATTACCTTTTGGTTAAGAAAATGCTTTAAAAGGAACATTATAAATACCATCAAGTATAAATAACATAAATGATTTTTTCTCATTAATAGATAATTTCACAGAGAAGTAAAGAGAAAAATTACTGTGAAAAATAATCTCGTAATTCAGAACTCAACAAAACATGCCATTTATTTAAATGAAGTAAGGATAATTTAACAGCTACAATAATTATTTATGGTTTGGAGAAAAGTAATGTACAATGTAGGAAGGCAGGCAATCAACTCTAAGTGTATAACATATTTTGTTTTAAAGTATTATTGATGTTTCTGTTCCTTAAAACTAAATAGTTTGGATAATAAGAGTCCAGTCTGATGCTTAAAATCCAACAAGAGCTATCCCTTGTCACCTGCTGATTAATTGAGCACTACAATGCTGTCATAGAGCAGGAGAATTCTGCCCCAGGTTGTCAGCCTTTGAAGGTCTTATTCTACCACAGTATTGATGAATGCAGGCACGAGCTGTAACAGGCATGGTAAAAATATTATCTGCATGCTGAATTAGGCCATTGTTTTAATTCTCATTTTCTTCAGAGCTCTAGGTCAAGCAATCCTTCTCTTTTCCCCTGTTAGTTCAAATTCTCTGTCAAGAAGTTTCTGGGAAAAAGCCAGCCAGAGATAAATAAAGCTAAAGCAACTTCATATTTCAAACACTTTGGTGGAGGACTGATCTTTTTATTGAAACTACTGAAACATATAGCTGAAACAATTTCATAATTTGTCATTTAAAGACTCACTGTGTTCATCAAAGTTAGTGTATTCTAAATATCTTGGCTCTATGATGATAAGAATATTCACTTTAAATGTAAGGAATATGTACATTTATCTGATACATTTTTTGGAGATTCAATGTCTGTAGTGACTGTGTATATTGGCAGTGGGAAATTTAGGATACCAAATAGAGAAGGACATTACATAAAATGTCCGCTTCTTCAGGCTTTCTCTAGCTACAGCCTAGCAAATATTCCCTTGCCCATGGCCAACTGACCAAGTCAGAAGTTAAGTTTTCTAGACCTATAAATCAGTTTCACAAATAGAAGGTAAAATATAGAGCAAGTGAATTTCACCAAAGGGTTTGTTATGTACATGTATGGAAATATCACCCTAAACCCATTTGTACAATTACTTTTATAAAAAAGAAAAAATTACTAGTTTTTAAGTGCATTATATACTATGATACTCTGAAATAGTAAGTCATTTTAAAGGAGGAAAAAAAGCAAAATAACTTTCATAAGTTAATCTGGGCTGGCCATATAAATAAGCACATGACCTAATGCTTCCTAACAAATACAACTTATGAGCAAATATTCACAGACAAAGCATTGTTTTGCCCATGCAGAAAAAAAACATACATTTAAATTAAATTTTCCACTTAGTAGACACATACTTGATCTACCATGTGTTCACTGAACACCTTATTCACATGGAAAGGGTTAAAGGCAGAAGGCGCATCCTCCACACTCCTTAAGGGCATCTTTAAAGGCTGGATGGGCAATGGCTTTTCCTCTGAACCCTTCATAGAAAACAGCTGTTCTTTTAAATATTCCTTCATGGGGGGAAAAAGAAAGTACAAGTCAGGATGTTAAAAAGAATACACTCTTTTTTTAACTGATCCAAACCCACATTTGACACTCAGTTTGTGAGATTATAGTGTCTGACTTGCCTAGGAAGAAACATAGTAGAGTATCGATCAGTATTGCAATAAACTTACCAAAAGTAGATTTACTTAATATAGGGTACAGATTTTAAAAAAATTAATAAACTCTTTTATACTTGAGTGAATGCTGGATATTTCAGCATCTTCTCCCTAGGCATTGTCTCATCATTGGTTCATGAGTTTTGCCATGCTGGTTACCAAAACTTGATCCCAGAGCCTGACAAGGATTGCTTCTCCTTTCATGGTGTGATCATGTGTACTTGCTCCCTCCTCCAGGCTTAGCACATCACTATGTATGTTAATATTTTATTCCAAGTAATGTTATTCTATGCAGAATTATTTATAATGCAACCACCATTTCCTTGCTCTAGACTGAAAGCTATCAAGGTTCAATAAAAGCTCAAAATACATCACTCAAATATTCCAAGTTCCAGCGCAGTTCTAGGTAAACCTACTGCATTATACCTAATTTCCCTCCTCTAAATACATATGGTGAATAATGTGAATGTAGTTTGTAGGACTATTTTTGTAAGACAACAAATTAAAATGACTAAGAAGTCTACCATCAACTAACAAATGCTTATTTAATGAATAAAAATAAAGATTATATGTAACAATGGATTTTTTTCCTTTAGAATAAGGTTCAGAATGTTGGAGCTAAAAGACCTTCAGGGATCATCTGTAAACTCTTACTACGGAGAATCTGGTACATAGATCAGCAGAGTCAGCCTCACTTGGGAGCTTGTTAGAAAACAAAATTGTATTCCCTACCAAATCAGACTCTTTCTGGTAACAGGAATTCCCAAGAGATGAGGAAGAATATGAAAAACTGAGAAAATCTAGCTCAGTATCACACTCAATCCTTGGCTCTGAAAGAGCAAAAGTCAAGCCTGAGGCCAGAGACCTGTGAGGGATAATTACTGAGGCTAGAGTCACATGTCTAGTCTCAGTTCACTGTGTGTGTGTGTGTGTGTGTGTGTGTGTGTTTCCTCTTGTTCCTCTATAGTTTTAGAAATGTTCACGGTATCATTTGTGGAAGGCAAATTTCAGAAGTTAATATCCCTAAAAGTCTAGTGAAACCATTGGTAAACGTAGCAATGTTAGCTATATCTTAAACTTATTCATTGTGGAGAATATCTCTTTAGAAAGATAAATTCTGTAGGAGAAGGGGTAACAGGTTTGACAAGAAATGTACTTATTACCTTACTTATGTAACTGTAACCCCTCTGTATATCACCTTGCAAATAGGAAAAAGAAAAAAAAGAAAGATAAATTCTGTAATGTAGAATACACATAGGCATCTCCTAAATACTATCTGATATGATGAAGCCATCCAAAAAGATTTTATACCTAAATTTAGGTAACCAGATCTAACCAAAAGCTTTGTTTGTCATGATTTATGAAGTAATATTTTAAAATACTCTCTTCTTTGGAAAAGAGTGCTTTGTTTTTGGCTAATGTTTTCTTCACTGAAATTCCTCTTACATTAACTATGTATTTTGATTTTGTTTCCATTATTCAAAAATATAGAGTTCTCTACTGCAAGTTGTGAACAAAATGGCATTCCTTTGATAATCTCTGCTACATTGATGATCATCAGTATTTCTTCTTAAAACCAGTTTTTTTTTTTAAAAATAAAAACCAGTTTCTTGAGAATCTGAGGCAAGATTATGTATGATTTTAATGCACTCATGGGCTATGTGGAGATACTTTCAAATAAAACAAAACAAAAACGGGATTACTTTACTCTGACATTGCTTTCATCAGATTTAATCAAAACTACTTCATATTTCCATTGTTTTCTTGAGAATCTCTGCACAGTTACATCAAAGTTTTTTTTTCCTTCTTTATATGTGTTTATTGCCTTAAAACATTATCCCAGAGTCTCAGTACAGTACTGAAAATCAGTGTGGAAAAGGGATCTGACCTCCAAGCCCTATTCTAATTTAGTGAGAAAATTGAGGTTCCCATCATTTAAAACATATATTTAGCCGGGCGCTGGTGGCTCACGCCTGTAATCCTAGCTACTCAGGAGGCTGAGATCTGAGGATCGCCGTTCAAAGCCAGCCCGGGCAGGAGAGACCCTGAGACTCCTATCTCCAATAACCACCAGAAAACCGGAAGTGGCGCTGTAGCTCAAGTGGTAGAGCGCTCGCCTTGAGCTGAAGAGCTGAGGGACAGTGACCAGGCCCAGATTTCAAGCCCCACGGCCGGCCAAAAACAAAACAAAACAAAAAAAACCCATATATTTATATTTTATAAAATGGAAAATATTATTTTGAGGTAATTAAAAGAGCAACTGATTTCTGAGTTCCATGAAACAATTCTTATATGGATGGACCTCATTAGCACAGAGAAGTTTTAAGCTCATATTATAAACAATAGTCATAAACCATCTCTCCATTTTTATATTAGATAATTTTAAATATTCAACAATTTGTCACTAGGTAATAATTATCCTGTCAATGTCCTATCTATAACTACTTCAAGATATTAAAAATATATTTTAAAAAATATTTTAGTCTGGTGCCAGTGGCTCACGCCTGTAATCCTAGCTACTCAGGAGGCTGAGATATGAGGATCACAGTTCAAAGCCAGCTTGGGCAGGAAAGTCCATGAGACAGTTATCTCCAATAAAACACCAGAAAACCGGAAGTGGAACTGTGGCTCAAGTGGTAGTGCGCTAGCCTGGAGCTGAAGAGCTGAGGGACAGCGCCCAGGCCCAGAGTTCAAGCCCCATGACCAACAACAACAACATTTTTTTTTAAAAGAAACCTAGAAAATTAAGTTTCAGTTGACATTTCCAAACTACATATTCTTCCAGAGTAGAAAACTAAAGCTGAAACTTGAAGAGTACACAGACATGTACATTTTTATGGTAAAAGAACCAATCATTTCTTGTAGCAGTATTTAAAATATTCACTTTAGCTATAATCAAATTACCAATTATATATTTATTCAGCATCAATAATAAATTAACAAAATATATACGTCAAAGCTTCTTTCTCTACCTTTCACATTCTCTCTTCTTCTCACCACTTAAGTATCACTTAAGTGTTTTTCCTTTCAGATGAACTCAACTACCACATTTACTGAAGACCATCAAACCTACAGCCATTACCTCTCTTGTCAGTGCTCATGCCCAGAACCTCAGCTACAATTTTAAGTTCTTGCTCAGACATGTTACTTTCACTTAAAAAACAAATCTCTAACTTAATTTCCCTGAATATCTTCTCTGTAGGTATATATCCACAAAGGCTTTTCTACATCTACATTTTCTAGTAACATCTAGTGGTGTATGTAAAGCACCACTAATTCAATTTCACCTACAGCACTATGAGCCCAATATTGAAAGCAATAACAAATACTATGCAAGTCAGTTCGTCAACTTCTGTTATTTGAGTTTTGGGCCTATGCTTTTGTAACATCCAGAAGGTACATATCTCCTACCCACTATGCCTTTGGATTTAGCTAACATTATACCTTTTACTTTAATGCACACGCCTCACCCAGTATAGTACAACTGTAAGTACTTAGCTCAACAACCTTAAGCTAGATAGTGCCATGGTGGCAAAGTTATTCACATGTAACAAAAGAAAAATCAGAATTTTGAGTTTCTTTGGTCAAAATTTACTGGTACCCGAATGAAGACCTTATAGCACACTTGTTCAAAGCTACACAAGATTAATGCAGGAAGAATGTATCAGGTGCTTTTGTTTACTGGTCATTTCTGAGCTTTCTATCCATTTTGCAATCTATACCAGTGATTAGTATCCTTTACAAAGGTTACCAGTGCAATCATTCTGCAACCTTTTTTTCTCAGTAGTAACTGCAATTACTTTGGCCACTTTGGGAGACCAAGTAGACCTACTACTGAGGAGCCTGGCTTTGAAACAATATTTCATTTAGCCAAGGCCAGGAGTTCCAGAGTTCCCCAAATACAAACACAAAGCAGGCTATGGCAAGTCATTAACGAGAGGAAGTAGGCTGTATTACTTTGCTGCAATTTCTACTGATTTTTGGTGTCTTAGGAACAGGGTCATTTCTGACAGCACCAAATTTCCTGTATTGGGACAACATTGAATGTATTGTCATGCCACCTGTTTATTGACTGGTTGATTAACTCTATGAAATGCAGGAAATAAGAATGACAAAGTAATTCTCAGACAGAGACTGGGTGAAAGAACTTTTAGACGACTGATTTGTAAAATGTTATAGAACTTAATTCCTTAGTTACATATGTTTTTGTTTCTGTTTTTTGCCAGTTGTGGGGCCTGAACTCTGGGCCTGGGTGCTCTCCCTCAGTTCTTCAGCTCAAGGCTAGTGCTCTACCACTTGAGCCACAGCACCACTTCTGGCTTTTTCTGCTTATGTGGCACTGAGGAATCGAACCCAGGGACTCCATGCATGCAAGGCAAGCACTCTACCACTGAGCCACCTTCCCAGCTCTTATGGTTTTTAAGGCCTATGTATTATAAAAATAAAATTCTATATGTTAACCTTATTCATATTACACAATCTTTACTTTTCAAAAAATATTTTCATGCATTTATGAATACGAACATAATTGAAGATGCCACATTCTAATTCAGACACAAATCAAAATAAAAACTGAGTTAGCAAACTTACATTGGTTCAACTGAATAGCTTCCAAAGCCTCTATTTACATTTTTTTGAATAGTCCAAAATATGTGGGGTCAGAGATTTAACAGTGCAAAGATATGGACAAGTATAACATTTTTTCCCAACCAGTGTATTAAAATGAATTTTGTTGGGCTCATCTGATTGGCCCCAAATATGGTTGAATATTTTTCTGAAGGTTTTCTTTTTCCATTACATTTTTTAAAAACTGCTAATTTTACCAACATATGCATGATACTTTCAGGAAAATAACTGTCTCCCCTCAAAAAATGTTTCATTTCCATAATGCTAGATTTTAGTATCAACTTAACAGCCACAAACACACAATTCCCAAACTACACCTTTAGTCTCTACAATGCAGAACTGAACTGAATTTATGAGCCGTGTTATTGTTTAAATCATATAAATAAAACTTACACTGTTTCCGTGGTGCTATTTCTATACAAATGCAGAACAGCCGGGGCTGAATAGATTCTATTAATAATGCAATATTGAGTTTGGTATTGACTTTAAGAAGTATTATCACCTCCTTGACTAACCCTTAGCTGCCAGCAGACGCTGCCTCAGGCCAGTACACACCTAATTGCTCGGTAAAAAGGCCGTTTCCCTACCTCATTGAGCCGCATGATGTGATAAATTTGCCTCAGGTATTCGCTGCCACCTGGTTTGTGGCAGAGATCCAGGACCATCGTGTTTATTTTCTGCTCAGTCAGTTCAAGAGGAGTATCTCCTTCTTCTAAAACTGTGCTTTTCTCCATTGTCATAAGTGCACTAAATACAAAGGAAGCAAATATGTATCTGTGATAAAAGAACTGGAGCTGGAAAATAATCAGAATTTGAGTGTGGAGAGAGATGTAAATTTCTACTCAGAGTACCCATGAAAATTTCACTCAAGTAGGTAAGTCTTCCCAAATCACTGCTGCTATACAAATGGTGGAAGAATGAAGCTTCTGAAAGCATTTTATTAAAATTGAATCATTTCTTTCAAACCATTTCTTTATTACATTTACACTCCTTTCTACAAAACACTTCCACATCACTACAATTGTTGAAATTGCTATAATCATGGGATAAAAACAAAACATTTCTTTCTCTTTTTAAGAATAGGTAAGAAATAATTGGTATTTTTTCTAGGAGAATTAAAAAGTATCTTTGATGCCAGAAATAGCTTTGGTTTTCTGTCTTCTGTAGATTTCTCTTTACACCTGTCATAGAACACATTAAAAACTAATTAAAGTGTCAGAGGGAGAGCCTGGTAAGCTAAATATAAATTGGGTCTTTCTAAGCATTGTGCTTATCATTGGATATTTTTAATTGGCCTTTGACACTTGTTGCTTTTTAAAACTATATGCTCTCTCTCTCCTGCTTCTTTCCTATAACAGACACTTAAGAAAAGTCAGGTCATTCTTTCAGTACAAGGGTCTATTTTTACCCTACCAAACCATTGAAAATACAGTTCTGAAACATTGAGTTGTTTGTTGCAGTACTGGAATCAAACCCAGGACCTTGTCCATTTTACACAAGTGCTCTACTCCTGAGCAACAATTCCACCTCTGAAACATTTCTTCTTGAATGATCATCTACTTACTTATTCTTGTTTTGAACATTGTTCCCATGTTAATAATGGATGACATATACATTTTAAACATCTCAGTCTATATCTGTGTAAAACAATGTATCAAACATCATAAAAGTATGCCACACTAATTTCCTTCATGTAATTGCTATTAAGATCATATAAGGGTTCTCAATGTAAGTATTTTAGGAATATTCCTAGTTTTTCACTATTTCCCAGACTAAATGAAATTTTTCATGGTGTAATCAGCTGTATACTGCAGTTCATTACTGAGATTTTGCCATGATTATAAAATTAGTTCTGCTAAGAGTCAGTGTTGCTGACCTGAAGACTGAACCAAATGATACCCAGCTGCTGGACATTAACTATGATATTGCTTCCACATGTAGCTTCAGAAATCCTTTTCGAAAAAAAAAAAGGTAACTTTAAGATCATATAAGCCTTGCTAAAAGAAAAAAAAGCCAATTCTGAGTTACTTAGAGCAAACTATTTTTTTAAACAAAAGACATGTGTTACAATAATGGGAATTTTTGCATATCTTCTGTAAGCTACATACAAGATGCAAGCAAAATTTCTTGTTAAGGTTTTGTAGAGGCTGACATTGAAAAAGTTGGGGCCCTCTGACAAAGGAGTACCTTCATGCCCGTTCCTGAATTGTATCCTTTCCTGCCCATCACTGTGCAGGTGAAGCAAATGATTGGATTCAGTCAATGCTATGATTAATGAGTTCCTCTCTGGATTTGGGACTGCCTATCAATCATGTCATTAGGGAGAATGTGCCCTGAAAGACGCAGACCTTAGCCAAGGAATAACTGCATTAATCTTAATCTGTATATGCACCCAGCCAGCCAAGTCAGGGTCACCATGATGAAAAACAATAATCTTCAACTCGACAAATTACTTTGCAAAGACAGACATTTCTTTACTTTTGGGGCTGTGTGTTCTCAAAAATCTAAGTTGACTGTTTACAGCTTGAGAGTTAGTACAAAGTGAAGGTTATTTTAATGAATAGTAATGATTTCAGGCAGTATGCAAGACAGGCAAGGCTTATAGCTGCCACCTTTTTAACTAGTTATTTTCACCATTTCCATAAAATCAAAGCTAAATCAGAATTCTAGTAAAATAAATCTAGCTAAATGATATTGGTTCCAAGATAATCTTCATGAGGAATTAAGGCTTCATTTATCTTACCAGAAGAAACAATTTAATTTCTGTGCTGGTGTTATTTAAAAAAAAAAAAAAACTAGGATAAAGCCAAGGCAACCTTCTATCTAATATACACATCATAATTTGAAATACATTTTTCCTCATAGTGTAGAACTATGAACAAAATTATTATCAATTTATGAGAAAGACTTAGCTGTAGAAGTTTATATCTATATCAGATAATTAATTTGAAATCAAGGGCAAGAATAAACATTCCTATAGTACCCAAAGCCTATGAGAATGTTACCTAACGTAAGTTAAAATCAAGTTGAAATTTTCACACACATATAAATAAATTTGTTTGCAACTTTGTGTATTACTATAAGTTATGAAATTGCAAAAGACATAGTATTGTGATACTTATTCAGAATCTTGGAATGCTATAGCACATTTAAAAAAAATCAACAATTCCACATTTTGGTACAAATTGTAAGTGATAGCTAAGTACCACTTTTGAATGTTAACTAACCAGTTAAACATTATGTTGACAATACTATAAGAGATAATATATGGGTTGATGTGTTAAATTAAAAACACCTATTTAGGAAAAGTAACTAGCCTACTGATTACTGTATATAGGTCTAACCATATTATTTAGCTATTGCCTTAAATAAATTTTATTTGATATATATATATATATATTCCTAAGTCAGTAGTAGATATAATCAACTTTATAACTAATCAGACAACTATTTTTCCATTTATTTCTTCCTCTCTTTTAATAACCACTGCCACATATGATGACATCCGACCTTAATCTTTTAGTCATTGATTAAAGCCTATATATTAGTATTGAATGCAAATATAAAGAATAAGAAGGTCACTGTCAATGCTACTAAGCATTTCCCTGACTGTTGCTGTTAGTCTTCCTACCCAAGGGACCTCTCAGAAGTAAATTTCTAGAAGTCCACATGACAATTATGATGGCCTACTTTCATTATATAGATTACTATAGTCTTCCATACTAACATAAACAAGAATATTAGTATATAACAGTTGCTTACTAGTTCTAAGCCTGATGCAAACAACTTTATGCCACTCAATTTCTCAAAAAATTTCATCATTCGGGTATCACAATGAAATTGAGGTTTTGAGAAAGTCACTAACTTGAACAAGATGCCCATCTACAAGCGATTTATACTTGTCCATCTAACTCTACAACCTATCATCTACAAATAATTATAACCATCTTTCAAATGACTTTTAGTTGTTTCAGGCAGAGAGAAAGTTATACTAGAATATGCTAGTGACAGGAATATAATTTAGAAGAGTGGAGGGCACTGGGGCAAGGTTTTTATAAAATAGGCAGAGTTAGTAGACCACCTGAACCGGAATTACTTGATCAATATCATGTAATTCTATATCTGAAAACTAACTTTAAGACAGGAGAACTCCATGTACATATTTAAATTCACTAGGGACCCTTAAAAATCTTTGCAGTACTACAAATCACTTAGCTCTTGATGACAAAGCTATGAGAAGGCTGACATTTTCATACTGAAACAGCTGGGTGTGTTTATGGCTCCAGTGTGATATGCCCCAATTGCCCTCTGGGATTCTTACATTACCAGATGAAAAATGTGTACCTTTTTGACAATCGAGTACACAGAAAGCAATAAAAAGCCTTTTATATCCATTAATTCCTTCTTAATTTAATCTCCATGCCCACTCCATTTACAAAATGCTCTAGGCTATCCACTAGATACTTGTTTGCACACTGAAAAGGAGTGAAACTAAATTCCCTTGGGTTTAACAACACCCTTTTAATCAGAAACCTTAATATGGTGAATAAATAAAGTATAGTGTTCCATTATATCAAGAGGGTTTGAATTTTAAGAAAACAAGTAGTGTCTAAAACCCCCAGTGTTTAGTTGGGATACTAATCTTTTTTTTTTTGTATTCATCAAAGCTCCCATGATTTTAGGCCAAATGATCACAGACACCCATCTGACAATAGTTTGGTGCTGTTGTATATTGGTGATTTTGTTACTGTGAAAGTAGTTGATGAAATTCAGTGGTAGAAAAAATATGACTTTACCATTCAGTGCTAAGTTTCCTTGCTTTCAACAGTTGGCGTTCTATCCAGTTGGGATTTTGTTGCTCAATGCTCTGTGTGACCTTCTGAATGTTTTGGTTAGGGCTACTGTGCCCTTGAATGATGCTTTCCAAACATGCACAAATTAAACTGAGTTTCTCTTTACTCCATCTGTCAAGGGAGGCACCTGTTAAGAGTTCCACAGTGTTTCCATCCCCAAATATCCGACATGTAATTATAACCAAGTTCCAGACAAGCAGGCCAACTTTCTTCAATTCCACAAAGTTTTTTGACATTTTTCTCTCAGACAGAAAAAAGAAGTATTTAATTGAGGGAGGCAAACATGCAATCACTGTAGGTAGCTTGCTGATTACAATAGATATTGCCTGAGCAGCAAACCTTGTGAAGCCTGTGGAAGAAAAGACAGAAAAGGTATGATTAATATTAGCATTTAAGCTCCATCACTGCATAGTTTTGTGCTGTACAGGGATGTCTAATTTTTGTGGAGAAAATTGTGGAGAAGAAAAAGTTCTTGACATATTCTGACAGAACACAACTGGGGTTTCCTGCTGGATTTTCTAAATTCCCCCAGATTCCAAGATTAGTATTTTTTTTCCTCCTCTCCACAAATGGCAATTAGAAAATTCAGAATTATAATTTGTAGTTTTATCTCAGACTGCAGCTTTGAAGGACCTAGATGCCTCACTAACTAATGCAAAGGCATCCCGCTCAATCTCTCTCTCTCTCTTTATAACTTTCAATAGCACTGAGCCCCCTTTATACCTTTCTCCTCTTTCTCTGGAATCTGTGACACAATCACTCCAGCTCTTCTCAGGTCTGGATGAACTTCTTTTCATTTATAACCTAAACATCTCCCCAGAGAACTTTGCTTCCCCATCATGCTCTTCCCATCCCAGCCCTCAGTCCTTTTCTATCATATAACTTGTTTGGTTTCCTCGCCATCACCTAATTAAAATTCTTTGCTCATTATCTGTCAACCTCCACTATAATACCAACTCTAGGAGAGCAGTACTGGAATACCATCATTAAGTACCTCATATGGAGGAGTTGTTCAATGAACATCTGTTGAATAAATAAGTCAATAATCTGGTTTCTGTTCAACTCTATTACTTGTCTTTGTGTCTGAGACTAGTTCCACATTTTCCTAATACCTCTTAAATGTACATGCATGTTTAGCAGTCCTTGGCCCTTTGCTAGATGATTCTGTAGTTTTTCTCTGCTTGGTCTGTTTCTCTAAAGGATGTATCAATCTTCCTTCTTTATATTAGGGTTTTTCATTTGGACTGGGTAGTTCTTGGTTTTGAGGAGCTGTCCTGCACACTGAAGGATGATTAGCAGTATCCCTGATTTCTACCCACTAAACATCAGTAACATACCCTTCAATTGTGATAACTCTTGTAAATGTATTTTACTATCTTTGTTTGAATAATATGATCTATATGACCATGTTGGTAATCAGAATCATAATGCACCATGCAAGGTAATCTTTTGTGTGTCTTTGTTATATATATCATTGTGTTAGACTTTCCATGGCTATGATTGAATGTCTGACATAGACAACTTTAAGGAAAGAAGACTTTGTTTTGGCTATGGTTTCAGATCTCACAGCAGTGAGAGGACACTAGAGCACAGAAGCTCACATCATGCAGCCAGGAAGCCTGGAGAGTTAGCACTAGCTAACTTCCTCTGCTCCTTTTATTCAGTTTGGGCCTCTATTCTATGGGATGGTGCTGCCCACATTTCAGGTGGATCTTCCCCTCAAGTAATCTTCTTTGGAAATTTGCTAACAAACATACCTATAAGTGTGTTTCGCTAATCTTCTAGATACTTCTATAACCAATCTAGTTGCCAATCAAGGTTAAACATCAAGCTGGGCGCCGGTGGCTCACTCCTGTAATCCTAGCTACTCGGGAGGCTGAGATCTGAGGATAGCAGTTCAAAGCCAGCCCAGGCAGGAAAGGCTGTGAGACTATTATCTCCAATAAACCACCAGAAAACCGAAAGTGGTGCTGTGGCTCTCCAATAAACCACCAGAAAACCGGAAGTGGTGCTGTGGCTCGTGGTAGAGTGCTCGCCTTGAGCTGAAGAGTTGAGGGACAGTGCCCAGGCCCAGAGTTCAAGCTCCACGACCAAAAAAAAAAAAAAGGATTAAATATCACAATCTTATTATTTATGTCTTTGTAAGGTTTCAAGAGTATAAGGCTATATCTTTTTCAATATTACACAGAACCTGATATAGTCGTTTTCTCATAAATGTAAGATCATTTAATATAGCACTTAGTTTAAAAACAAACAATTTTCTTTTTATTCAAGTGAACAGCTATAGATGAAGTTTAAAAAGTTGAAAAAACAACTTTAAAACTCTCTTCTGACTTCTTTGCATTTGAAAATTATTTTAAATGTCTTGTTCTTTATATGTTTATGATTCATATGCTCTCCTTTATTGTCAGGTATTTTATTTAAAATATTGTAGTTTATCTTCCCTGTGTCCTAAAGAGGGCCTAAGCATAGATACTAAGCAAACATACCACAACCTAAAGAGATAGCAGGTAAAGATACCAATACTCTTTATAATTGGCCTGCTACTGATATTTTATATATAAACTCCAAGGATTCCAATTACTCAAGTTTTATCATTTCTTCATGTATATTAGTTTCATAACATCTATGGATTATAGAACATGGAAAAAGAAAATTTACAATAAATAAAAATAGTTTTAAAATTAATTCTAAATTTTTTATTTGTTAACATAAGAAAATATCAAGAATATGTTAAATGATGGTAATGTGACTTAATATGCTTATCAATTCTTCTTTTTCTTTTTTAATGTTGGACATGGGCTTGAACTCTGGGCCTGGGCACTGTCCCTGTGCTCTTCGGCTCAAGGAGACCATTCTACCACTTGAGCCACAGTACTGCTTCTGTATTATGCTTTATGTTGATTAAAATCTAGTCTTTATACTTTATCATATACAGGTGTTTCAATACCATATTGTAACAGCTCTCACAGGGGAGAAAGTTACCACACAAACACAGAACACAGTACTATTATACACAGAACAAGTGTATTATTAATTGTGCTTATACAACTGTAGCATGTATATATATATTCAATCTTATCGAGACAAATCTACTATTCATCCATGATAACAGTTGTTCTTACAAACTGATTTTTATATTTTTAAGGAAAATATTTAAGGATCGCTGAAATTTCACTTGGACTATTTGGGTATGTGTGTATGCCAATCCTGGAGCTTGAACTCAGGGCCTGGGCACTCTCCCTGAGCTCCCTTTTTGCTCAAGGCTAGTGCTCTACCACTTGAGCCACAGTGCCACTTTTGGCTTTTTTCAGAGTAGTTTATTGGAGGTAAGAGTTTCATGGACTTTCTTGTCTGAGCTGGCTTTGAACTGCAATCCTCAGATTTCAGCCTCCTGAGAAGCTAGGATTACAGTCATGAGCCACCATCACCCAGGCACTTAGACTGTTTTTAAACCTTAGAGAAATCTTTACCAAAGTCTGGATAGTAGTTTTTTCAGGTTATATTAGCTTTTATAAAATAAGCTCTGTTAATGACTTCCTATAGTACTTTGTGTATTTTGGTTCCTACTCTTTTTCACAATTTTTCACAGGTGTATTTTCTTTGTGCTGCTATCTCTCTGCCCTCTCCAGGATTCATTGTTTCTGTTAATGTAATTCTTCCAAACAGTTTTCGTATAAAGCATTCTTTTCATTAAAGCATAATTTTCTATTGAGAGAATACCATCTCAAGCATATCTTTCATTTAATTGCTGTTAAAGTAACAAAACAAAACTAGTTCCTTATGCATTTGCTCTTTGAAATGTAATGGAGCACAGTAATGGCTAACCTATGTATGAAACATATGATAACACCTGAATTTCTACCCAACTGTATGGCAAACCTCCTACCCTGTATAATTTATTGTAATATTTATTTCTTTTAATCTTCAATGTTTTTCATAGAGTAGTATTTGCTGACAACTAAATAAATTCATTTTAGTTTGTCACCATAGTGTTTCCTATGTTTTGCCACTTTCAATATGTCAAGGACAAATGTTTCCCTAGGTTCTGGTTATTTGTCTTTCAATAAGTTAGTTTTGTTTTAAAAAGGGAGACTTTACAATGTATCACTGTTTAGGCATCTTTTACAAAGAACATGATTACATATAACTTGTGAGAAAAAATTATACAGGATTATATGTTTGAGATACCTACTTGTGAAATGTTTTCCTAATCAGGACAACTTCAAACTATTGTTAGCTAGTATCTCAAAGCATAATGCTCAGAAACTACATTGTATGGAGAACAATATTTCAAATAGTTTTCTTATACTTTTCCCGCCTAAATCTGATCAAATCATCACTGTTGTACCTTATGGCTGAGGAAAAGTACAAACTAGCAACAGAAATAAGTGTGAATATTTTCATTCTCATTATATACTCTTCACTGAATTGCTAGTATTATGGTTTGTTAATTTATTACTAGTATGTTTTGGGAGGATTGTTTTGTTGAAACTGGATTCTACAACACAATACAAAAGACAGCTTCAATGCATGGCTAAATTCAGAAAGCTAAAGAAAGTTGCCTCTTGCCTAACATTGTGGTTCTCCTGCACCTTGAGCCTCCCCTCAGGCTATCCCCAATGAAAAAACGAGCTTACTTACCTACTTAGGGAGGCTCCAGTGATAATCTCCATGTGAGATATAATAAAATGTAACTTCTTCCTTTCTTACCACATACCAGAGAACTGCACTTGCCTTGATATATATCCACCCACTTAGAAATAGTTTTCAACCACCAAGTGAAGACACTGTATGCTTATTTAGTTTATGTCTAACCTTAAATACAGTGCCTGGATGTAACAGTTACTCATTAGCAAATATCTATTGAATGAATAAATGCTTTACTGGCCACAATATAAATATTATCTGGCTTGTACAACAGTTTCTCCTTTATCTTAAGGGTGAGTTCAAGGCCCATAGTAGATGCAGGAAACCACAGATAGTACTGGATTCTCTATATTTTTTCTTATATATAGATACCTACAAAATGAATTTAACTTATAAATTAAACATAGCGATAAACTAATCATAAGTATTATAATAATCTACTATAATAAAATCATATATAAGGACTATTTTTTTTATTCTTTCTCTTGAAAGAGTACAAACAACTGATGGTAACTGAAACTGCAGGAAACAAAACCATAGGTGAAGAGTGAAAATCAAGGTGAAAAGTGGCAATCTAAAAATCTAGCATTTCAGAGGATGGAAAAGAAGAACAATAGAAGTCTTTATTAATGTACCTATTTAGGATACACAAATAGGTTCATAAAGTCATTTTCATCCATCACTTTCTTTTATACATTTATGTGACCTGACACCCATCTTGGTTGTCTACATATTTATAGGTTTCTACACCTAGTGAGAATTTTATAGCAAACACTATTAAGTAAAAAGAACCTTAAGAACTGGTATCTAAAAGGTAAGTAATTTTTGAAACCAGAGGCGGTATGCAAGAGCAAGGAGAAATTCCAAACTGCTCTTTAGAAAGCAAAACTCTTCACGAGTAGAATTTATTGAAAGCCACAACCTAAAGAATGCTACACATGTGTCATGATGTGCTCACTACAGAACATTCCTCCTGAGATGCTCAAAATGAATGAAATATCCAAAAGCTAGAATGAAGGAGGGATAGCAACAACTCTTACATAAAGAACTTAAGTAATGAGAAGGTGACATTTTACAATTTCAATTAAATGGCTTTACTAGTTTCAAAGGCAGTTTAATAAGGCTTGGACAGAATTAAAGCATTACTATGAAAGGTCACAGATAGATAATTGATTTGAGTTTGTAATATAAGGTCGCTGGATAAAAGCCACATTATTTAGGATCTCCATGGAAAAGAAAGGCTAGTCCCTTCAATTGACTTTTGTGAGTTCAGCTGGAGTATTTTATTGTTGAAAGTTTCCTTATTCATCTTTGTTAAGAGGAATGTGAAAGAGAAACAGTTTTATTCCAAATACAGAGTATGTAGTCAAATAAATTTCCTTAAAATTCTATTAAAATGAAACATCTGGGAAGGAGAAAATCTTTTAAAAAGGGAGGTCTTTATCGGTAGAATAAATGACTAATGTAAACAGCTAATAGCTTTAAAATACACTTGGTAGAGAGACACTGTTCTGAACAGTATCAATGCATTAAATTTAGAACCATAGGTTCTGTCAGAAAAAAATACATGTAGTTCCAAAATGAGTGCTATTTTGGACCTGAAAGCTGCACAAGTAGGTGTGCTAAAAGAGAGTAATAATTAGTGATTGCAAGGGAAAAACTTACAGGAAAGAATAAGCCAAATAGCAACTTTGAGGGTAGAAATGTTATTCTCTACAGTCAAAGGAAATTAGTCAAAATCATGAAACAAATATGTGAATACTATTGGAAAAAAATATCACAGAGGACTCTGAACTGATAGTTTTAAAAGATTAATATTTCAGTCATTTTATTTTCTGGTTTCCTTGTTCATATGGCTCACAGTAAAACAGAAAAATTAAGGGTCCTAAATGTATTTGATAGAATAAATATTACCAATCTTATAATTTTTATTGAATTGATTATCCTAGAATATTCCTGAATAATCCAGAAAATTTTTTTCTTAGGGGTTGTTTCCTTAGAGACAAATGAATTTACCTTTGTTTGGTTCTTTCCTTTTTGTTTCTTTTGGAATATAATTCCATTCCTTTGGAATGCTTTCAAGCAAGCAACTGGGAACTCTGGGTTTGCTTAGGCTTGTTTCACAGTTTCTCCCAGGGTTCATCACAGATATTATCAGACGCACAGTGTCCTTGACAGCATCCGTCAGTACCAGTCTCAAGCATTGGACGACCTCTGGCTCAGACTCCATGTTTGTTGAATCTTTAAAATGAGACGGGCATTATGGTTAGCAGAATTCAGCAATCAGCTGTGCATTCTTTACCTGGGAATGGTATTCACAATAATCTTTTTTTTTCCAGTGCGAATGAGTTTATTAAGTATCACTAAGTTTTACTTTTAATCATGAACATTTGGTGGGGGGGGAGTCCAGTCATTGGGCCTGAACTCTGGGCCTGGGCGCTGTCTCCCAGCTCTTTAGGTCAAGGCTTGCGCTCTACCACTTGAGCCACAGTGCCACTTCTGGCTTTTTTTTCTTTTTGCTTATGTGGTGCTGAGGAATTGAACCCAGGGCCTCAGGCATGCAAGGCAAGCGCTCTACCACTGAGCCACCTTCCCAGCCCACACAATAATCTTAAAGCTGTAAGAAAGGACAGCTGATTTAAACTGAGAAATTACATAATTGGTACTCAGTTCATAATCTAGTAAAGCTCCTACTTCTTGGTAGTAAAGAAATGGCAATTCAAATAATAGTAAATAACAATATTTACTAGTAGTTTTGGACCCTGGCGGTAGAATATAAATTGTATGACTTTCTTTTTTGGGGGGTCCGGTTTTATATGAATTGTATGACTTTCTTTTTTTTTTTCCTTTGGGTCCAGTCATGGGGCCTGAACTCTGGGCCTGGGTGCTGTCCCTCAGCTCTTCAGCTCAAGGCTAGCATTCGACCACTTGAGCCACAGCGCCACTTCCGGCTTTTTGTTTTTGCTTAGATGATGCTGAGGAATCGAACCCAGGGCCTCATGCATGCAAGGCAAGCACTCTACCACTGAGCCACTTTCCCAGCCCTTGTATGACTTTCTTTAGATTTGCAGAATACTAAAAATTTCAGGTTTTTGGCAATATTTTGAAATGTTATGCTGGAAGTATAATACAAGGCCCTGAATTTAATCGCTAGAACCATAAAAAGAAAACACCTAATGAGAGAAAAAAAATAACATTTTATTTACCCAATGGATTGACTCATTTATTCTTTTCTGTAGGATTAAATCTATTCCCAAAGAAATTAATAATATGTAAATCATGAAGATTAGAAACTCTATGAATGTACAATAATTGACGATTTCTAAAATTAGTTCTCATAAGCTATGCATGGGGTCTCAAGCCTAAAATACTATATCAGAAGTAGTGAACAGGGGATCTTGGTTCAAGTCCAGCAGGAGAAAAGTCTCAAAGACTGAAAATTCTAGATAGGGATTCAGTCTCAGCCACTGTCTTACACTATACACTGTTTATACACTGTACACTGGAGTAGGTGCCTGTCATCCCAGCTATGTAGAAAAGTGTAAATAGGAAGATCAAAGTCTAGGTAAGCAAGGGCATAAAGAATAACCTTATTGCAAAAGAACAACCCACACATGAAGGCTGGTAGAGTAACTCAAGTGGTAGAATGCTTGCCTTCAAAGTGCAAGGCCCTTAGTTCAAGCCCCAAACTGCCATACACACACACACACACACACACACACACACACACAACTCATACAGTAGTCATTTGTACAGTAAGTTATAAATCTTGTAGTTAAATGAGAAAATAAGTTAGGAAAGAGTACAATGTACTATTTTAACTTTTATATGAGATATATATAGTTTACCTTCTAATGTCAAGGTTAATTGTGATTATTGGGTAGTCTTTTTCCTTTGTTGTTTTTTTTTTGTTTTTGTTTTTTGGTGGCTCGTGGGGCTTGAACTCTGGGCTTGGGCACTGTACCTGCACTCTTCAGCTCAAGGCGAGAGCTCTACCTTTTGAGCCACAGCGCCACTTCCGGTTTTCTAGTGGTTTATTGGAGATAAGAGTCTCACAGACTTTTCTGCCTGGGCTGGCTTTGAACTGCGATCCTCAGATCTCAGCCTCCTGAGTAGCTAGGATTACAGGCTTGAGCCACCAGCGCCTGGCTTTCCTTTGTCTTTTGCTCTTTCTTCCTTTCTTCTTTTCTTCCTTCTTTGTTTCATTCTTTCTCATTTACTTCCTTTCATTTATCCTATACTTCTATTGAACATTCATATAATTTATCTTTATATGGTTTCCTGCCATTATTCATTAAATGGTATAATGAAGCTTTTATCCTATATCAATAATTAGTATTCAATTGGTTGAGCTTTTATAGCTATGGATTAAATGTATTATATCTTAGTTACATTTAAATCTGAAAATTCTAGGAACCCAGAAACACCTATTTCCTTTTATTAAAAATTATGTTTGCCTTTTGTTTAAAAAAGTTATCAAATAAAATCAAGGTATTGGAAATGATAGGAAAAATAGTTTTCTAAGAATTATTTAAAACTTAAATGAGTAGACTGATGTAAAATATTTGGAACAATAACTGGTACATAGTCTATGTAAGATATTCATATTAAGATCTGCAAGCATTGTTTTGAAAATAAAATATTACAGTTTAGAAATAGCCAATAGTCATTTGCTATGAGGTCCTGAGATCTTTTGAACAATAGATCCTCTATGGAATTTTAAGTGATGCTTATGGTAGAAATAAGATACAGTTAAAGAATGAAAAAAGGCAAAATAAAGAGACAGAGGGAACAGGGAAAAGTAAGTAAAAGATAGGATGGACACATGGTCAGGCCATCTGGCTTCATAGTTTTACCATGAATTTCTTCATCAGTTAAAAGTTACAGTGGGTATGGATTTCCAAGATATTTTGCAGAGAGAGTATATAAAGTCCAGCTGTTGTGAACCCAAATCTTAATTCTAGATTACCAACATAAAGAAGAAAAGCAAACAAGGTATCCTCCTAACTGGATGATTTTCTGTTATATATTAACTGAAACAGTGGCAAATAAACAAAAAGTTCAAGCTATAACATGTAATTTATAAACTCTACTCATCCAGTATCTACTTTGGTAATATTTCAAATCAACATTAAGAAACTTTACTTAATCTAAGAGGGACATCAGTGTTATTACCTATAAAAGAGAGAGAACATGAAGTTATTTATGGGTGTTCTTGGTTTACATTTACTGTGTCTTTCAGATTACTAAAAAGAAAATACTTCACAGCCAAGTACATACAAAATCAGTAAGACCTGTGACTATACTTTTTCTTTCACAGCAAGTAATCAGGAGTCCCTAGAAAGAAGGTGAATGATGGTCTAAATCAAAACTGAGCACAGAGTTTATGCAGCAGCAATTTGAAGATTGATAAAACAAAATCAGTTAATTTGTTTAAAATATAAACTTTTACTTTCATCAACATACTTTGAAAATTTGATAATAACAGATCTTGCAGGGCATAAAAAATGAAACTTTATTATTATTATTATTTTTTTGGGTTCAGTTGTGGGGCCTGAACTCTGTCCTTCAGCTCTTCAGCTCTACCACTTGAGCCACAGCGCCACTTCCGGCTTTTTTCTTTTTGCTTATGTGGTGCTGAGGAATTGAACCCAGGGCCTCAGGCATGCAAGG